GGGGAGGGATTAGGAGGGTGAGACAGGAAATCTTTGGGATTTGGATCTAAATCAGCTCAGGCACTTCCTGTCTGCCAGGCGGAGTGACTTCAGCTGTCAGGCGCTGCAGGATGCAAAAATCAATACTGCTCCTCTTCCTCACCTCCTCCTCTTGCTCTTCCTCCTGCTGTCAGATCTGGATCAATGAGTCCTGCAGCTGATGAGAAGGTTCAGACTCGGGTCGTTTCACACGGCGAGAAGCGTTTTTCTCCACCGATGAACAGAATCACGATTAACGACGAGCTGCAGGATCAGGAACGGTTCAGCTCTTCATCATCGAGTTCCTCCTCCTCTTCACTGCTTTAAGTGATATAAATATAAATAAAATGTTAATATTTTTCTACAGAACTGTTGAAGAAAAATCTGAAGGTTTGGTATAAAAACATCCTGAAAATGTTTTTTTTAATCAAAATTTTAGGAAGAATTACTTAGAAATTCATAAATAATTAATTTGAATTATTTTACTCTGGTGTCAGATTGATTGTTTTTAAGTTTTCAGTGTTTTTAAATGCAACTGGCTGCTGCTCAGTCTGTAAATAAATACCTGTGGAGCCTGAGTTTCTGCTCTGAAGAAATCCTGCAGCGCCTCCATGTGGACGTTTAGCTGAACTGCTTGGGTTTTTATCTGAACCAGGAGCAGAAAAGTCAAGATGTTTGAGTTAAACTCTGCTCTTTAAAAACGATTAAATGAAACTTTTATGTACAAGTCAATGAAAACTTGTCTCCTGGAGAATTAAAGTTCACAATTAAGCTTTTTTTCTGCCTTGAGCCACTAAAAATAAAGAAAAAAAAACTTTTTTTAGCTGTTAAATTCTCTGTTTGCTGCTGACCGATTTTTTTTTCTTCTTCAGTGAAGCTGAAGCATTTTTTGAACAACAGATGAATCAAACTTGTCGTCTTAAATAATTAACAGGTTATTTAGGTGCTTAAAAGATGTAAACATTGATTTGATTTGATTTATTGATTTAACAGGAAAAGATTACTAAAAATCAAGCCTGACTCAGCATAATTGCTGTTTTACAACAGGTTCCTGTTCTGCAGCACATAAAACACTCAGAATTACAGC